GACCAGTTAAATAATATGTGCGTCAAACAATGATGATTTTCTCATATCAGGGGGGCTTAATACTTAAAAATTATAAAGATAAATTCATCACTTTGACACACACTTGCTGTTTCATAGCATCAGTAGATTACTCTCATTTATTGTAAAAAAAAATATATATAGGCTCACCATAAATCATGTAACATAACATATTATTTAAATCCACCACAGCAAAATTAATGTTTTCATGGAGCATAATAATACTGTAGTCAGATATTAAAAATATTACACTATCTGATGATGTGCCGGAAGTGCTACATGTAGTTCACATGTAATAAATTACAGCCATTTTTTATGGCATGACTCCCTGAAGGTGGGAGGTGACTTTAGTTTTATGCTTTCATTAACAAAACATCAATCAGCTAATTTCATTGTAATAAACTGCCTTAAATTAAGGTGTGATTAATATATGATCAATTACAGCTTCAATTAATAAGAAGGGGGAAAAAGCCAGAAAGCTCAGTATTTCAGCAGGTTGGGCTTTAAACCAAAGGTCAGATTTAGCTTTGCCTGATTAACAATGGAGTAAAAATGAACAATTAAAGTTGGTAAGGATTAAAGTCAGGAAAATCATTTGAACAAATAGAAATTATAATTTCTTCTTTCTCCTAAATACTATTTAATAAAATACACATTGAATCCTAAAGGGAAATTAAACAGATAATATCACTAATGTAATGAATTAATAATTGTGTTAAATCATAGGTGAGCTCAGAAAAACACTAAAATCTGGTAAAAAGCTAGGCCAGTGTATCTGTTCGAGTGGGATTATAAGATTATATCAGATTAAAACCCAACTGATCCTCGTTCTTATGAGCTGTAAACCGAAACAATTAAACATAAATAACAAATAATTCAGATCAGCTGCTTTTGAAATGGCTTATTTAAGTTTTAATCATTGTGAGCTGCTGCTACCACAGTTAGCATCACTTTGTTTAGATCACCTGTTGTTTACCTTGAAGCGGACCGTCATGGCGCTCCTTCTTGTTTAAGGAAATACCGGAAATGGTCGCTCACCGCAGATTAAACACCAACCAGAGCCTCGTTATTTCCGTTAACCGATCAGGTGAGGCGCTAACGGCTAACAGACTCTACCGGTTATTCATCCAACACCGGGTTGAGCGTTTACACACCTGTTGCTCCTCTTTACAGGATTTACGGTCGTTTTTAAATCATGGTGCGTTCAAGTCCGGTCGTGCGTTAGAGCATCTGTACTGAAACTACCTCTAAAATCAAATGTTGCAAAGATAATAATGTTCATAAACATGATTCCAGGTTACTTTAAGTGTTTCCCCTGTATGTTTTTTTTTTTTTATTTTTTTTTTTTTTTTTTTTTACAATTATCAACTTTATCGTTTTCATAATTGCTATCCTTGGCAAATTCTTTTTTTCCATGTCTCTTTTGAATTGTTGCCAACAGGACCTAGAATTAGATCCTGATTGCTGCGATTCGTCTCATATTAATCACTATTTTTTATAGCACTTTTTTGCAGATATTACCGTTTGATTAAAGAAGCAAAACACAAAAAACGCTAAATTGCCAAGAAGTAGTAATATTGAAAGCATTAAAAATGTTGTCAATGGTTCTAATATAGATGTTCGAAGCTACAAAATGTACTTGAATGCACCATTAGGTTATTAGCCATCACCGTAAAAAGCTGTTCAAAAGCGCAATGGGAACAGCAGAAAGGAACAGATGGGGAAACTTTCATGGCGGAACTCCTGACCAAACACCACTGTTGCCATGGCAGCGAGACGTGATGCGCACGCGCGTTTAACAAGTTTGAAACTGGAGACCTAGGAATAGAGTAGAACGGAATATAAATTCCCTTGTAAAGGAAAACCGCTAGCAATCACATTTCACCTGTCTTGTAATTTGAATTAATCTGTTTTTTTTTTTTTTTTTATTCTGAATTGAAATGAAGCTTTATTTCAAACTGAACTGTTCATAACTAAGATGACTGTGGTGGCAGGATAACCAGTGGAGAATCAGAGCCAAGGCCTGGAAATAGACCCACCAGGAGGAAGTGTTGAAACCAGCATCAACTCAGAGGACGCAGACTGCATGGCCAGTTTTTATATTTTTATTTCAGAGCAGTATTCTTACCCCACCAGCTTTTACATTTACCATGTAACCACCTACTATTAAATACGATGAAGTCAGAGTTTGTAGCAGGATGTGATGTTTAAGGATATTTCCCTCATCCATCATTATTAAGGAATGACTGACCAACACATGTTTCTGTTACAAAATTGCACCAGTTTTATTCATTTAAGGCTTCTTAGTTTTTGTTTTTTTACATTTGGCTTTACCCCCATCCACTCCTCTGCCTCTCTGTGCTGCTGCTGTGGGTTTCTGGAACAGAAGAAACCAGTTCAGAATCTCCCGTTTGCTGGGCTTTTAGCCGCATTCTTTACTGGCTGAACTGGTTTCTTTAACATTTCACTGGTAACCATGCCATACATTGAAAAAAAAAAAAGTTATTTCAATAAGGGGAAAACAATTTTCACTTTTCTTTTGGCTGCAGTTGCAATCGTCACTGATGCAAGTCGGGCGTTTTAGGGAACTGCAACAGTTTCTTGGATTAGGATGAGTCCAGCTTTTATAATCAGAGATTAAACATGTAAAACGGTTTATAAAACACTGTAATGTGGGTCTAAGCAGATAAATGGACTAGAGAAGTTTATTATTGCACAACATTTGAGCTCATTACATTTCCTTTGAAAGCATCACACAAACATATCTGCTTATAGCTACATCACAAAGTTTTATTACATTTTTACAAACTGGTTATAAATGCTCACAACCAAAATGCTAATTATTAGTACAACCACTACAGTTAAGGCCTCAGTATTCTTTAAAACAAGAGTTTTCCAAACAGACTGTAGATCTGATGTATCCAGAATCTGAGTTTGGCAAATGACGAAAGCTCCTGCAGCCTGCTGTTTGGAGGCTGGAAAGGTCTAAATGCAGCCAAGGCTCAGTTTAATGGCTCATACAAACAGACCGACTATTTGTAATTTGTAATTTTATTAAGGATCCCCATTAGCTGTTGCCATGGCAAACAGCTAGTCTTCCTGGGGTCCAGGAAGACTAGCTCTGAAACAATCCTGCATCAATAAAAGGGAAAAAAGAGGAAAATTAGCAGTAAAGAAGTAAAAGGACATTCATAGGTATTTATAAAACACATTCTTAACAAGCTGAAAATAAAATTTCTAAGCAGTGATAAACATTTGCTGTGTTAATTTGTTTTTTAAAGCATACTGTCGCCCTCTAGTGGCAGAAATAAAATCTCCATCAGTTCTCAGGTACAACAATCCCATCGCCATGGCTGCAAACAGACCTTCCACTGCTTCTGAACAGCATGCAACCTGTCACAGCACCTCCTGGAGGTCCAACTGAGTACTTGTCGAAAACAACATGCTACATGACTGACCGTACTGGAGGAGAACCAGAATACTGACAGCAGTACCCCACCGTACCGCAGCGCTCCTGATAGTACAACACTGCAGCAGAACTCACAGAGGTCTGAGGAACCGTCTGAGGAACCGTTCCTGTGAGATGTTCTGTTTTCTTTCTTTGACTCCATCTCAGTTTGATCTCTAATCCCATTTCTGTCTCCTTGGAAACCAGTGTCCCTCCTCTCCATTCAGCAGGAAACTGATGTTATCCTGAAATCTATCAAAGCGCTGGGTAGAACCAGGGAGGTCATGAAGAACGACTTCAATGATCATCTTATATCAATAGGGGAATAAAGTTGTTTCCCTCTAAGCAGAGTTATTAGAAGCTGCTATCAATATGGCTAACATGAAACAGCTCTCCTAGGCCCTCCCAGCTGCTCTCCTGGACCAGTGTGAGTCTGCTGTCTGAAGGCAACACGTTCGCCAATCACAGCAGGTCAAGACTGCGCTCACTGTGCTGCTAACGAGCTAAATACCTGCTCATTTTATCAAACAGCTCCTCCCTTTAATCACAGTTTTCTCTTACATATCTAATGCTCATCAACTCTAAGGCTAAGTTGAAAACTTATTTAAAGCTCTTTAGAGTTTACAGCAACATATAATATGTATTTATCCCCAGATCTAAAAACTTTAGAAACTCCATAAGCACACAGTTAGCTACTAGTTTTCTCACTAACTACTAACTTTAGTCAGAGCTACTTAAAGCTAGTAGCTAAAGTTAGCATTGATGATAATAGCTGCTTAAATTTGTTTAAATTGCTAATAGCTAATGTTACCAGTAACTTAATCTACAACAGCTTAGGGTAAACAGTTTTAAATTGTCATTAGCAATTATGCTAACATAGCTATGTGGTGTAAAATTTGGTAGCTATTAAGTTATTAGAGATTAAAACAAATTCATTCAAGGGCTAGTTCATTCAATTCATTTAAACTTTATTACTAGAAGGGGAGCATTACTTTTTATCTTTTCATAAATAAATGTTATTTTATATCTAATTTAATTTAAGTATGAAGAAAACTGGACTCAGTTATTTGGCACAGTTAGCATAGTTTCCACTTTAAAGCAAGACCAGGAATTTCTTTGAAAAAATAAGGTTGAAAAGCTATAAACAAAAAAGAGCTAAATTGACACACAGTTCATGATTCATATATGGTCAGAAATGCTTCAATTTATCTCTTTTGAAAACCAGATTTAAAACTTTTATCTAAAAAAATGCAGAGACTTATTAAAGTATCTCAACTTATCCTGAAAAAGATTATTTAGCCGTGCTGCTGCTGACAGAGCAAATCAAAAAAGTTTTTGAAGATTTCCCTTGATAGAAACGGCTCATTGTTACCGTATTATTTCATAAATGAGAGAACTGCCAACCTTCTGCCTCCTTGTTCCTTTCAGCAACACAGTGAGCCGTCCCCATGACCTGCTGCACGCCGTTAGCCCCACCTACCCGAGAATTAAAACTAAAAACATCAAGTGACTTAAGATTTTTTTTTTTCTTTTCTTTTTTTTTTTTTTACACAGAATTATAATAAGCACTGCCATAATAATAATAATAATCACTGTAAGGATCCACAGGTTTAACCAGAGCAGTACACACAGACAGCCGTCACCGGGGCAACCGCAGCCCCAACATGGCCGACGGACAAGCTGCATGCGATTGGATTCAGACTGCTGGAAATTAAAACGAAAGCAAAAGAAAAGAAGAAAAGGAAAAATCAAGAAGCATTCAGCCCCCCCAGCAGAGAGCATGATGGGAACTGAAGTTTTAATCTGGGCAGTTGTTTGGACAGCCCGCCCTCCTCCATCATCGTCATCTGATGTTTGGTTTTAACGTTTCCAAGGCAACAGTCTCTGCTGTGGGGATTGGAAGTGGTCGTCATGGTAACAGAGGTTTAGCCATGGCTGATATCGATGATGTCCTGGTTGTGTTAAGGGGCGTGGCCAGCTGGAAGATGTTCTGTGATTGGTCGGTTTGAAGGTTGTCGGTCAGGTCAGAACTGAGGAAGAGAACAGGAGGGTCTGTAGGCGGCAGTAAAAGATGGAGACCCCCATCCCCCCCCCCCACTGTTAGAGTTCACTGTCTAAGAGCATTAAAGGGTTAATATTACAAAAATATCCTGAGTGAATTAAAAACCTGTTTTCACATATTGATTCATATATGTCCAAAACAGACTGTCGCATGTGAAAACGTAATTTTCCATTCAACAAGGAATGAGAAACTAGGCATTAATGGCATTCATTTACCGGCTCAAATAAGAGGATTTATGGAGTCACTTTTCCACCTCTGGTTGGAACGCTTTTTTAGCTTTGACACCAGGATTCAATCAGAAGGTTAATCAGAGGCAACAAGAAATACTAACTTTAAGAAAGCTTCTTTTAAAACGGTTTAATAAACTTATCAGAAAAGGAAATAAACCTTTTCAGACCAAATAAAATGCACTACATTGTAACATGACTACTTTAGGTCTATTCCTTTATGTCGAAAAACTTAAGAACCACATTTACAAAGATTTCTCTTTCGAAAATAGTTCTATGTTGAGATTTTAAGCTGAAAACACTTTAGGGAACTAAAGAGTTTAATAAATGAGTTTGTAAACTGCTTTTTGCATCTGTTCAGGTTATCAATGTCTAACACCGTTGGATCTAGTTTAAAATAGGGAAACAGGTTTGGGACTCACATATCATTAGAGAAGTTGGCAGTTTGTTTTTCTACGAGTATCTCCTGTAACTGGAGTCTTCCTGTTGATCTGCCGGACGAGGTCGTAAAAGATCTGCAAAAACAACCATAAGCATCAGAATGTGACGGAAGCAGAAGGTAGAACGAGTCTCCGGTGGGCGTGGCCACCTCGTTGACGTTTATCTTGCTCTTGGCCGAAGTCTCCAGGAAGGCGCAGGAGTTCCACTGGCGGGCGAGGCCGATGCCGGACTCTTTGGCCACAACACGCTCCACCTCCAGGTCGCATTTGTTTCCCACCAGGATCATGGGGACCTGCAGCGTCGCATCAGCAGGATAAAGGGAGTTTCGTCATCAACAGTAAGACGCTTGAATCAAGGTTTTCATTTTTAAGGAATTGAAATAAATCAAAAAGAAAATAAATAATAAAATATTATTATTCATATATTATATTTAGTAAACCTAAAAATATTTTTTTGAGAACTTGCTTTCCTTTTGTACCATCCTTTATTACACCTGAAAATAATAATCTATACGATAAATAAATCCAGATTTCGATTTATTAACTTATTTTTTTCTTATATGCCAGATTTTTCTGAGGTAATTTACTTTTGTTCATTTCCTCCAAAACAAATTTCTATCGCATCATTTTAGAGGGAAAAAGTTGGATCCTGCTAAACCATTTCTGACCAGCAGGTGGCAGCAGAGCTAAAGGTCAAAGCATCTTTCCTCATCTGACCTTTGTTTTCACAATTTTCTGTTTCCTGACACCTGAATTTCCCTGTAATTGGATTCTAAATTAGCGCTTGCAGCCACAGCATTAAATATTAGACTTGATGAGATGATAATAAACAACAGTCAGGCGTTTTTGGCAGGTGAATGTGTTGCGTTTGTATCGTACGTCCTCGGTGTCCTTGACTCTGAGGATCTGCTCTCTCAGGTCCTGGAGGTCGTTGAAGGTGGACTGGGCTGTGATGGAGTAAACCAGAGCAAATCCCTGACCATTCTTCATGTACAGGTCCCTCATGGCCGTAAACTGCTCCTATATTAATAAACACAAACAAAGAGATGGAGTCAGGGGGGGGTGCACAGGCACTTAACATGCACCTGACCTCAGATCAGATCTTACTGTTCCTGCTGTGTCCAGGATCTCCAGCATACACTGCTGTCCGTCCACCTCCACTTGCTGCAGAAAGACACCGAATCAATCATTTAGCGTTTTACATCAATTATCCGACTTCAATGTTTAAATGAGTTCATTTAGGTAAATTAAATCAGTTTCTATTCAGAATTAGAATTCTGTTGTCAGGTTTTTAATTTTTTTTTTTAATATTTTTTAAATCCAAAAACATTTCTTTCTCAGCTAATTAATAAAAAGATTTACAGTATTAACAAAGCCACTGAAAATACACAAGTTCAGTTTTCTTTCATCAGCTCAAAAATAAAATGTATATAAACATAAACAATTGTAGTAAAAACGATAAAAGGAGAAGAAATCTGCAAATAAAAAATATTCATAAATAAGCTTGAAACGTTTCAATAAATTGGTATCGGGACAAGCATGTCAGATAATGGATGGATATATATATATATATATATATATATATATATATATATATATATATATATATATATATATATATATATATATATATATATATATATATATATATATATAAATACTAAAATGAAATGGCTTTTCCAAGCGTTGCATTTCCAAATTGGTGCCTGACTTTACACGAGTGAATAAAGAGAATGTGATTGGTCGTTTATCAAGGGGACGCGATTGTTGTGGCAGAAGGTTTGCAAGCAAGTTTAATTGTAGCCTACTAACCAGTTAGCAACTTAGTGCTAGTAGGTTCCCAATGGGAAATTCCATTGGGACCATGTAGCCCTAAATTGGTGACTTAGAAACGACACTGTCAAGGAACGCTATGGACAGAGGAAACATGCAAGAGGAGGAGAGTTTAGTGTAGGAGGTCGTGGATGAGTCTCCTCCGTCATACATTTTTTATTTAGAGGAGGAAAGCGGGATGAAGATGTTGTGGAAGAGGACGCCAGGGCGGCAGAAGCTTGGTTTGGTGTAGAAGGCTTACAGCCGTACATGTTTGAGCCCTTGCCTCGCAACGCTGCCAGTTCTGTTAGCTCTATGCCTGCTGAAGACACAGACGTCCATCCCTGTGAACACTGGGACGGAACTCAATGGGAAAGGAAATTATTCTTTTTTCTTATTTCAACTGTTGCGTATATTAGCTGCGACATGAATCAAGATGTTATGACCGAAAAAATGTGATTGACAGATGACTGTTGATATACGATTGGCCGAATTTAGGTGTTCAGGCTGACGTATAACTAACTGGCCTGCAGAAGATTACGGAAAAAAACCCCCACAGATTTTAAGACAGGATTTATTTTTGAATAGAAATTTTCTAAATTTTGGGACATTATGGTCTGATAAAGAGTACATTTATATACAAGCCAGAATGATTTGACATTTAAAATTGACTTCCGTACGACTTTAAGGTCTAAATACATCAATAATTAATAAATATATAACACTTTACATTAAAAAAAATATAGCGTAAGATTGAAATATATGAATAAAAATAAATGTACAAATATAAGAATTAATTGTATTTACCTAAAATAAAGGTTTATAGAAAAATAAATTATAATTATTGGACTTATTTAATAAATAACCTTTGTAATATAAAACTAGTAAAAAGCTCCAAAAAACCTTCCATTTACCAAATTACTGAACTCGTTTTAAACGTCTTCAGATTATTTTTTTTATTCTACTTTAGTTTGTGGATGCTGAAAGAACCGCCTACCTAAATATTTTAAGACAAAACTCAACAAATATAAACCATTATTTAAAATAAAACCTTTATTATCAATAAATGCATGAACAAATATTTCCGTTTTCAGTTTTGCAATTTAAAAATCAATCATATTTTAAGTATTATTCTAAATGTTTAGGTGGAAATGTTAATTTACTAGATGAATCTCCTTTTAGATTATTTCTGTATCTTAATATCCTGGATTAGGACGTCATTCTCAGACGTAAACGTAACGATGTCGTTAGGCCGAGTGTGTCCCTACCTTTCTGTAGGAGTCCTCTATCGTCGGATCGTACTTCTCCACAAAGATTCCCTGAACAAACTGGACCGTCTGAACACAGAGAGAGGAGGAGGAGGAGGGTTAATTGAGCTCTGTTCTGCTCTCCATTGTGAATCATCAGAATGTTAATTATGTGACAGATCTCTATTATATCAGATGGATTAAAGCTCTTCGTTGTAGTGAGTCTGATTTCAGATTTATTTACCAAAAAACAGAAAAAAACAGGAAGTGGGAAAATCAAAAACTCTAAACTTTATTAGTTTCTGCTGAAAATACACTGAAACCCAAACCACAGGTTGATACAAACCAAACCTTATTACTCTGGTGGGGAAGTTTCTGTTTTCATGGACCTAAACTTTCTGTCCGTCTCTTTTCTTTTATTGTTCTTTCATTACAGGACGTCTCTGTCCTGGATTGTCCCTTCCTGTCCTCCACAACCGTGACCGTCCTTCAGAGCCAGCCTGTGAAAACCTGAATCCAAACCGATTCTTTTGCTCTGTTCGAATTCATGGGCTGCGTCCTTGGAAGGCCAGATTCGAAGGCCGATTATGTCATAGCCGAGGCGCCGAGGTCTGGTCGGATTCCAAGAGTCCTCGTTATGCGGCCTTAAAATGTGTCCTCTTTTTTGCATGATTTGAAGGACGGGTCCGATGTATCCTCGCTATCCTTGGATATCCCAGGATGCATTGCGAGACCAAGAAAGCCGTGATTTGCTCCGTGATCAAACAGTGGTGAATGTTGTAAGTTCAGTTTAATATGATACAAGTGTTTGAATATTTCTGTCTGAAATGAATGAAAATAGTTTTAATGGTGCAGATATGTGGCGGTAATGTTTGGTTTATCTAAAGGTTTTTATCTGTTACTGTGTAAATGTGTTTGTCTGTAATTTAAGGACAGATTCTAATATATCTGCAGTGTGGGGACTATAAATCTGATAGGATTAAATTTTTTAATTGCTATTTTGCACAATATGCTTAACTAAGTATTTTTTCGTTGTTGAATATTAGAGATTTTGCAGAAATTTTTTTTTTTATATATATTGATTAGATTTACTTATATCTTTCTACCCCTTTTATAGAATAGAATAGAAAATCCCTTCATTGTCCCACAATGGGCAAATTTACAGCAGCAGAAAGATTATTGAAAATGGTCTCACAAATGTGGACCTTAGAGAAATGTATAAGAATAACATAATAGGGAAGAGTTAAAATATAAACAATAAAATACTATAAAGTGTTTTAAATTAATAACCAATATGCAGCTATGGACATTTTTACAGTAATGGATATTTGAAAATAGCAGCAACATCAGAGATGTGCAGAATGACAGCAGCAGGTTATTTAACTGACTAAGGTTTCTATCATTACATTTGATTTTATTTGTTCCTGCTCCCGGTGGTTGGAACCTTTATTCCACTCTGGATTCTTGTGACTGTAGTCTTTGATCACTTTATAATAATAACAAATTAAGATTTAAACAGTTTTGAAAAGTTGGTATTTAGTCTTTTCCTGCTTTGTATGTCAACTGTCATGGTTGCTAGGCGACAGAGCGTACAGGCGGTAAAAGCTGCCGAAGGGTAGACCTGTTTGAATTCACAGCCAAAACTCTTCCGGTCTCCTTATTTTCGAGGACTTCGAAGGACGGCGTCCCTGGAGGACGCAGCCCACGAATTCGAACAGAGCCATCATCTAGGAGGAGAAGCTGCTGGATTCTCTCAAGAGAAACATTTTGAATTCTTATTCATCTAAAGGTAATTTACATTCTTATCAGTTTGTTTTTAGGTTCAGGCAAAGTTATTAAAGGTTGGTTACAGATTTTATAGCCTTTAACTCTAATATCAAGAAAAATCTTTGAAGTGAGTCAGGGAATTAATGAATTTTAGGAAGCAAACTGAATAACCCCTGAGTCACTTAAGGAAAGTTCCTTCAACATGTTAAGGAACTGATGATTCATTTATTGACATGACAGCGGAGTCAGACTCCAGGCTGTGTTTGGGACTTACCAGCGCTGACTTCCCGACGCCTCCTGATCCTAAAACAACCAGTTTATATTCACGCATCCTGACTGTCTGTCTGCTGGGCGAGAGAGAGAGAGAGAGAGCAGGTCAGAGCAGCCAATCAGAGAGCAGATGACAACACCTGGCAGGTTAACTCAAAACAGCTCTGCTCGGGTCATGTGATCGCACAGCTGGTGGACTTGTCTCCGTCCTGGTTACTGTTGCTATGCTGAAAGCCTGCAGCTTCACGGCAACATGACAAACACAGAGGAGGGCCCGTCCCCCCCCCCCCCCCCCCCCGCTGACCCACACAAAGAGCAGAAAACGGACCCAATCCACTAATAGCTTAAAGCTTTTTATCACAACAAACAAACAAAACATAGTTTCAAAGCAGATTTTTCTTCCCATAAAGTTTGAATGTAAACCTGTAAAGTGAATATTTAGAAATAAAGTCTACCAGAAGTAAAATAATACTAAAGTTCTCCCACAAATCCTACATCAAGACAGATGATAATAAAAATACTTTAACACATTCTTTTATTACATTTATTCGTCTATCATTTGATATTTTGATTCTAATGCAAGTAAAAATCTTGAACTGACTCAAATAGTGAAGAAAAAAAACACTGAAAACTGGATTTACCAATAATAGTAACTCTAAAAGTCAAGAAGGAGGAAGTTACTTTAACAAGAGGAAGATGAACTTTAATATTGTGAAAAATAAAGAACAATCAGTGAACACTATGAACTTTTGACACTCTGCATCTCTCCACCTTAAATAACCCAAAAAATGTGAGCAGAAACGTTCCTTTAATTTCTCCTGCACTTGTTTCTAAATTTAAAATAAACTTAATCTGAAATGAGAAACTGCCGTAGGGTCCTCGCTCCTCTCCCTGCTGATGGGGCCCACTCAGGTCGCCATGGAGACGAGATGGTTGTGTGTGATAATATTTCCTTGTAAAGCAGACTTTTCCACAGCAGAGCAGAAGTTCAATCATTGAAGGATAAAAATCATATAAACACTTGGGTCAAAATGAGGGATTATCTCAGATTAGAACCAGATAATTTTCCCCTCATCCACGATCCTCAAATTCATCCAAACCAAGAAGTCTGTCGTTTCTTCTCCAGTTAGAAGCAGTGAAGCTAGAAAAGCTGCTCTAACAGACAAAAAGCTGTGGAACTAAACGCTTCCTAGACTGATTAATCAGCCTTCAGCACCAACAGCTGCTCCTCCACAGTTTAACGAACAGTTTTCATCACTTAGGGGAATTTAACCCGGTTAAAGCAGTTCAGTCAATTTTATCTCCTAACTTTTCCTTCGACCCGTTTAGAGGCGGCCATGTTGGATCATCGTCCTTCTCCTCCGACAAACGTTTGACTTTTAAACCTTCAGCTCTGACGATATTCAGATTAACACTGATTAGCAGCTCACATCCTCATCTAATCTCTTGGTAACGGTAACCAGGCAACTGCTCCCAAACTTTCTTAAACTACCCAGAAACACCTGCACAGTTGCATAGCAACGGCATCCCATTTTAACCCTGTATAAGTAGCTGTGTTGTTGGGAGGTTTCCAGTCTGACCACAGTGGTGAGCCATTCCTCACAGAAACAAACTGGTTTGAAGTGATTTTCAACATTTAAAGGTCCATATTGCTGGATAAAGTGACATCTGGTGGTGTGAATGGTGAACTGCAACCACAGATTTAATCAAACACCTGATTTTTCCAACCATTTAAACTAAATAAAATAGGATTTTTTTTTGGAAAACATAATTTTAAATAATCATGCAAGAGTTCTTAGGTCCAGTTTGACTTTTATTTATTTATTTATTTCAGGAATGCTAAATGAACCACTATTCGCTCACATGCATCTGTTCCTGCATTTTATGGCTGCAGTGAATCATTTAGTGTTGAACGGAGACCAGGAAGGGAGTTTAATCTGATTCTCTCCTGAAGAAGGAATCTCTGGGAACAAGCCTGAACTAGACAGCCGTGATCTCCCATCCTTCCCAAAGCATCAAAACGCATCATTTAGGAACAGACGACAGCGATGAAATCCTTTCCCTCCATCGTTAAACACCAATGGATCAGTCAGACTGAGAAGGTTTTACATGGACATTCATATCCTGGAGTAGAAGGTGGAAGTTTCTGCTTCCCCACTGTACCTGAATGCATCAGCATAGATTCCAGCGCCTTAGGGTTTAAAAAAGGGCTTGTTTATCTGAAACGCTCTTCAGGTTGAGACGACAAGTCTGGGCGGGTCGGACAGATTACAGCGAGGCGCTGAGCAGAACAGCAGGAACTACCAACCCATCCCGGAAAAAAACAAACATCTGGAGTTTCCCCTGGAAGAAAATCGCAACTAAAGCTCCGACTAGCAAACGCACAAAACGCCACGACTGAAAGAAAGAAGCTAAAGAGCTTTATCAATAAATAATAAACAGAAGAGCAAAGCGAAGCATTTTACTGTTTATGTTCTGAAACAGCAGACTACTTCCTGCTTAAAAGATTCAAATTAAAACACCACTACTTTAATTAATTTGGATTTCACTGCAATCCGTTGCTCTGAAAGTGAAATAAAGAGCCCCAGATGAGCTTTTAATAAAAGAACCAGCTTTAATTCACACAATTTACTGATGGAGAGGAAGAAACCGCAGAAATAAGTCTTATTTATACGCATAAATAAGGCTTAAAGAGTGAATTATTTCAGTTCTTATTGGAGCTACATTTACAGAAAGCTAAATGACAGGTTTATTCATAGAAATCTGAAGTTAGAGTTCAGATCTATTATCCCCAGATCTGTTTTGATCCACCAACAGCTGCAGCTTTAAAACCAGAATCTCCACCATTTTCCATTAGTAGCTTCTAGTTTTTAGGAGCATAATCTGATCAATGTTATCTATATTGTATCCTTTTGTTCAAAATAAATGAAATCAGATTTTTTCCTAATTCAAAGCAAGAAGTGGGACCTTATATATAACGAGGAATCGTTTTTGTCCAAAAATGATCGCTGCAGCACAAAATGCTCAGAGTTTGAGGGAAACTCGGCTTCGCTTCATTAACGGAAGAAAAACTGAAGCAAACCGATTTAAACCCGATTTGACTCCTCTGTGTTCATATGTTCTGGTCCACGCTTTCACTTCCTGCTTTCTGCTCTGCTGTAAAGACTGAACATATTTTTAATAAAACTAAAACCAGATGCTGAAAAGATCCGGATTGAACCACATTCCCAGAAACCTGCAAAACACGTTCGCTGTTCAGTCATTAGTAATACTCAAATAAACGATTTTACTCACATTTGATTGTTAATATAAACATAAACACTGGGAGGAAATAACGTTTTATTTAATAGAATAACCTGCCAGAGGTATCAGGAGGAAGTGTTTTGAAAATAACTTTAAATAAAAATAAATTTCTGGATCTTTCTTATATTAGTTGGGAATAAATTGTGTTTTTCAGACCTGAAACGCTTTAATTCAGAGCAAAGACGGATTTTATATTAAACCAACAAGCCTGACGCTGAAGAAAACAGGGTGGATCTGACCATTTCCCCAACAATAATTTACAGAAAATCAGTCAAATTGAGCTGAAACTGAAGCAACTGAAAGACGGTGAGTCCAGTAGGACCTGCAGCTCTGATGGAAACGGTTTAACTTCTGCATCTCTGCAGCTCAGAGAAAAAAAACAAACAAAAACAAATTTTACTTCACATATTTAATAAAAGTTTGGTTTTCAAACTGCAGCCACCAGCCGGAGCGATTTGAAAAACACCTCGACTTCAAGCTCAAATGTGAGAAGTTGTTGTTTTTAGTCAAAACTTCCTCATTATTAGTTGAAGCTCAAAGATTAAAATCATATTAAACATTTTCTGTAGTTTACAGATAAAGGCTGATAGAATAATCCAAGTAATGCAAGATAAACTTTAAGATCAACGTTTTGTTTCCTTCATGTTTGGTCTAAAGACGTCAGCTTAGGATGAACAGGCCCGGAGCATCATACCACCTCCACCATGCCTGACTGTAGCTCTGCTCTGGTTCTGAAACGCTCGTCCTTCTGGGTCAGATAGAAGCGGACACACGCCGTGACATCATCAGGATGTTCTCTCGCTAAATGTCAGACGGGTCTTTGTGTTCTTCTGGGTCGCTGGTTCTGAAGCCATTTTAGTTTCTCATTGTTGAATCATGACCTGTGACCTCAACTGAACCAGTTACAGGGATGATTTCTGCTCCGATTCTGTGGATCATGGTTCTCAGCTGCTCTTTTCTATTTCAGATCAGGGCGGGTCCTGGATTCTTTAGCCTACTTCATGTTGTCGGACAGGTGCTGCTGAAGGAAATTCAACTACTTAGTGATGAGGCCTGGGTGTGGCTGTTCAAACTGAACCAATATGTCGGACTTTAGTGATTCCTTTACTGATCCGTTAAAGGAAAAACCTTTATCACCACCCAGGGAGTAATCGACTATTGAAAAACATCCTTCATGGTGGATAGTTTGGCTTGATTTTATGACCGATTTAAAATGAGCAATAAAAACAGAGAGCATTGGTTTAAACTGAGGACATTCTTCACCTGCACAGACTTGTATTTGGTTTTACTGTGTGGTTTTTCTGGCCACCATCTGCAGTGTTTATATGTGACACAGAGAGACAGCAGAAGTTTATTAAAGCTGTTTTATTTCATGGCTCTCATCATGCAGCTGCTTCCTGTCCTGGCTGGGTGTGAGAGGAGGCCAGGCTGCTCCAGATCTGCTCCAGTCTGTGGAGGCAGATGGACCTGGATCAGGCTCCACTAGGTGGGGCCTGTAGCTGCTCTCTGCTCTGCAGAGCTGAGGGGAGAGCAGAGCCGCTGGCAGACACTGAACTCCTCACTTCCTTTCTTTCTTTCTCCTCTAGCAGAGCAGCGGGGCTTCCTCAGCTGCGCGGCCGCCCCACAGCGCTCCCTGCGCGGACTGCTCCTGCAGCAGGCCCCGCTCCATCGGAGGACACCATAGAAAGTGTAAACTAGATCAGAAACATTCCTGTAGAGATCAGAGCCCCTCTGATGCCAAGCAGCTGTCTAACATCCGATATCTGTCTGTCTATCTGTCTGTCCGCCGGTCGCTGCTTCCGCAAACCCAGCCCAGATCGGTCCGGTTCGGTACCGGCCCGTCCGCCTCCCAGGCTGCTTCTGGCGGGCTGAACCAGCTCTCCTGCGACCGGATATTAACCTCCACGCCATGAATGGTGGATTAATTTAAAAAAACAAGCAGAAAAAGAGGAAATCTGTAACGGGAGTACTTACAATCATCCACCCGTCCGCTGTGCTGCGCCTCGCTCTCTCTCCTGCTGGCTGTGATGCTCTCTCTACCAGAGCCGCTCCCTCCTGCCGCTTCAGCTCTCTGACGTCAAGTGTGACGTGGTGAATGTGGGAGCTTCCGGAAAGTTTCTTCAAAATAAAAGTATTGACATGTACGGAAGAGGATCAGGGCTACTGAAAAAATTAAAAAAGTGAACTGATTTTTAAGTATTATTTCAGTTTAAGATGGGAAAAAGTCAGAATTCTGACTTTAATCTAAGAATTCTGACTTTTTTTTTTCCACAATCCTGATTTTCTTCTTAGAATTCTGACTTTCATCTTAGAATTCCGACATTAAGAATTCAGACTTTTTTCTCAGAATTTTTATTTTTTCAGTGGCCCCAATCCTCTTCCATAGATATACTCTAAGTTCAAAAAGAAAGTGGGGAAAAAAGCAACATCTTACATTTAATACGTTACATAGTTTAAATCAGCAGTGCGTGTTTGTAAGTTAAAATCAGTTAATTTAAATTCCTTTGACTCATTAGCATCTTTAAATGATCAGTGAGGCTGCAGGCTGGAGCAGCTGCCTGCAGTGTTTCCTTACAGTAATACGGTCCTTGGTTCAAATCCCATCCAGGATCTTTGTCCATGATCACCAAATGCATGTTTAATCTGGAGGCCTATGAGATTAATTGGTTTAGTGAAGAACTAAATATGTTTTTAATTGTCTTTCATTCCTATTAAGCTTGTAGGTTTAGCTTGTAAATAAAGCTAGAATTAACAAAAGATACAGCAAATACCTTGTAAATAAATAAAAAAGCCAGTTTTGATGCTGGATTATATGATTAATATTAAAAAATAGTTTTAAACCACAAGCCTTTAATCCCAACAACAGTACAATTATTTACGTTCATTTAAAAAAATGAAACACTATTTTAGTGGTTTTATTGTAGTGTTGGGAGATTTTCCAAATGCTTTAGTTTGTAAATCTATGAATTATTTTGGGTGATGTTTTGTTTTCTTTGTGAGTCTTATTTAGTAAAAAACACCAACAAAAGAAATCACACAACGAGAATAAGAATTAATGAAATCGTTATTAATGTGCTGCTCCTGTTTTATGCTGTAACACTTTATTTTGAAGGCAGGAGGAAAAACTTCCGGTTTTGCTCTAATTTTGTTGTTTACCACCTTTTCTTCAGTCTCAGTTACATCTGGTTCCCGCTTCCTGGAGTAAAACACAACTTGTATCTATTTTAGATGAGTTTTATTTCAAATATTAGACTATTTACAACATTAAAAAACATTAAACTGTCAATATGTATCCATCGGCTTTTCTTATGATAGAGTCAGACCAGTAATTTAACCAACAGAAAATGTGTTTTTACATTAATGGAAATTAAGAACTTCTCATTTATACATCTGAAGAGCTGCAAACAGAGGATTAGAGGTGTGGTGTTCAACAAGGCTTTATTCTAAGCCCTAATGTAGTTTAATTGAAGTCTGGGATTATGGAACATAGTGCAGTTGTTTATTAGCCGGGAAAAAAAAACTATTATAAGAATTGGCAAGTTTTAATTCAAAATAAAAAAGCAGATAAATTTCAGGGAAGAACTCTGAGGAAACAGATGACCAACCTCCTATGGAGAAGCAAACATTTTGCTGAGTAAACTGTTATGGAATAGAACCTAAACCTGAACCTCTTTCTAATCTGCGTGCTTTTAGATTATATAAAGGTCATATTAGGGACACTATGAGGGATATCATGATTAAATAAGTTGTATTTATGTTTTTGTTGCTGCTGCTTTGTGAAAAGCTTTAGGGTTGATATTTAACAACTCTATGTCCCTTCTGGGTAAGACTAGACCTCAGGGCGCTGTTCTCGGCTCCATGTCCTTTTTAGTTTTGTTGATGACATCATTATATTTTGTCTCAGATTTTAGTTTTTTTTTTTTTTATTATAGATATGCCGTTCGTCTAGTTCAATTTGCATGTTTTCTAAACCAAAACAAGGCTTTGTTTCTGGTCTCTATAAAGCCTCAATCCCAACTCTATTTCTGACATTTTGAATTGAAAAAGCTTCCAGGATGGGAAGAGAAACGTCTTCAAACTTGAAAACAAAGTCCAATGGATTGTTTTTCAACTTTCTTGGAATATACTTTACTAATTTCAACTAAAGTATCAATTGTGATCTAAATAATGAATCTTTTACTAGATGCAACCACCTTTTGTATAGAAATATCAATACATAACAGATGTGTTTAGAAAATAACTGATGGATAAACTCAGTAGCTAATCGGTTAAACAAACTTTTTTTAACCCATTGATAAAAAAATATGAATAAAAGCTTATTTTACTATAATTCTTGACTTTTACGTTGATATGTTTTGTTGGTGAGCGAGCAGAACCTGTCAGATTTTTGTCCTTCCTGTTAGCTGTTGAAGCCCAACAGTTTGTGTCAAACAGACCCTGAAACGACGAACAACCAGCATGTGTGGGAGGGAGCAGAGCATGCCGGAGCGTGTTGACACCAACACGTCTCAACCCTCACACACGGGTCATGTTCCTGTTGCTACCGAGTGCTCAGTTACTGAACCAAATCTACGTCCAGCGGCCTGAAGCTGGAGTCCGAGCCGTCAGCCGACGCCCTGAAGAACAAGGTGTTTTCTGCAGAGATCCAGTGTCGTGAAGCCACACCTAAACAGGAAGGAGTCACCAAGAATAGAGTGGACCTCCACCCAACCAGCTTCCCTTCCACTGACACACACTTCCTCTAAGTCAGTTTGATGCTTTATGTAAATTCCTGCTTTTGCTTTTTTCAGTTAAAACAAAGAAATCAGGTTTTTAAGTGTAGAAGTTATTAAGACTCATGTTTTTTTTTGGCTGATTTCAAAACAAACAAGACAGACATTATTTAATCCTTCTTGAGCTTTTTAGTTTTATTTCCCCAATTTAAAATGTTCAATTGAACTGAAGGTTTTCTGATTCTCTCCTATCAGATGTTAAAATATTCTTCTCTCCCAGACGGCATCACTTTTTCTGAAAAGACGAGGCGGCCCATCAGAGCAGAATAAATTACTGAGCTTCAAAGAGGTAAAAACATCAGCATGTCAATGATCCAGACCCGGGTGCACCGATACCGACTCCTCGATTCAGATGTTGCTAAGAGACCAGATGAATGAGCATCATTTGGTTTGTTTACCCTCTAACGAGTTTCTGCCTCATTTAAGCAGCCAATCAGAGGCGGTGGCAGCCGTACGAGGAGAGTCATCTCCACTGATTCTTGGGATGAGGAGGTGGAAACATCAGGAAGCAGGAGTTAAACATCAGGTGAAGCACAGAGGATCTGGTTTATTGCAGCTTATAATTCTTAGATTTAACTTGTCATTAAATTGAACTTTGGCTCCCCCTGCTGATCTTTGAGGAATGAAATGAAATCATAATTCTTTATTTACCAAAAAAATCCACCAGATTCCATTTAAGTCTCCAGGATCAGTTTCACATTTGATTCCTGGTTCTGAGGTGTTTTTGGACGACCTCTCAGCGCCGCTCAGTAAAGTTCTGAAGAGGCGATGATCTCATTTAACAGCTCATGCTCAAACACGCTGAGTTTCCTCACCACAGTGAGGCTGGATGACTTCCAGTTTCACCACAAAAATATTTCCTAATATCTTCTCCCTTGAAGCTGACCTCAAGGGTCAGAAGGGAACTATTTTTGCAATATTTCCACTGAGAATGATAGTATTAGTAGTATAAAGGTTTTTATATGTTCCTTACTATGTGGTTTTCTTTAGAAATTGAATGCTTATGGACATTTTCTTTGGTCGATAAACATAAAATAAAATTACATATTACAAAATGGAACAACAGAGGACTGACCCAATTAGAAAGAGAATCCCATAAAAGGGTCATTGTGGATCAAACAAACAGACTCATTTAATGCTACATTTTCCCTGGTTGTTTGTTCTCCCATCAGTCAATCACTGGTTTCTGCATTTTAAATATTCTCTGACTGTATTACTGTGATGCACTTTTAAAACATTCAAACTATCAGGCTCTGTTGTTATGGAGTTCCTCAGGGCAGTGTTCTCAGCCCCATTTTTTGTCTACTGTCTGTTTTGTGGATGACTGTGTTGTATTTTATTTTTACTGGATAAGCTTTACTCCTTTTAGATTAAATCTTAATTGTAAATACCCACTTATGGTGCATATAAATGGAAATAAATACTGATAAGGATTTTATAGGTTCCTAACCAAGTAGTGGATTTTCTCTGAATCTTTCTCTTTAGAAATTGGACGGTAATTCATCTCAAATTAAAGTCAACCAAAGGATTATAAACACAGACCAGAGCATTCAGTGAGGACTTTGATGGATCTGGGCAGTGCTTCCTATATGAACAAATATATTTAAACCTCCCAACGCCAAAGCTTTGGTCTTTTATTACCCAGACTGATATAGATCCAGTATCCATAATCACACTGACCATAGCAGGAAGCACGGTGATGGCAGCTAAAGGTTCTTTGCCAGTGAATGAAGTGGATGACTAGTTCGACATGAAGGAAACATCAATGGTGCCAGACAGATGGATTTCTAGTACCAGGGGGAGGCGTCATCGGCTGCAGGTCTGAGACAATCCTGATAATCAATCTGACTGATGATCTCTAGCATGATTTAACGTCTATTGAACAGAAGTGGCACCCATCCGAAGGAGCAGGAGGAAAAGGGGCTAAAATGTCTGGAAATAAACCAGACTGGAAGTTATTTGTTCCTAACAGCCAATAAGTGCTGACATGCTGGGATTTCAATGTGTTTTTGCACACGTTTTATTGTTTTATCTTAAGTAGTTTCATAATAAATGTTTAAGAGAAAATGGAAAGGTAACTAGAATTTGATCAAATTTAGGATTTTTTTAATGCTGTTAAAGTCACATTACTTCTATTTCGATTTGGCTGTCATGTTTCCAGATGTCTGTGTTTGAATTGGCTTTTTTTTTTCTAATCCTAATCCTGACTCTGCCTAAACCATCGCATTAATGTACGTTATATTTAATGATTGTAATCCCACAGGAAGACGTTACAACAGGCATGCAAACGAAGACAAAAAGCAGCCGGAGTATGTAGGCAGGCAGAAATGGACCCATTTTTTATTTTTCTCGGGTGATAAACAGAGGATTGTCCTGACCAGACCATACCGGCTTAAACCGGTCTGGGCCAGGTTTACCCACATTAGACTAAGATAAGAGCAACACAGTAGAACCAAAATCCAACCACAGTTTACCAGATTAAACCAGCTGGAACTGGCTTAAGGCAGCTCAAGTCAGTACAGCCAACAAAAAACACTTTCTTTTACTCTACGTAACCATGGCAACAGCCAGCGTGGTCCAGTCAGGTCTGGTCAGAAGGAACCTGGTCCAATAATCTCTCCTCTTTCTTCCTTTCCTCTCAGATTGAAGAAGGGCACATCTACTTAGCCAGAAGAACAACTGAGAAGCCGATTGGTCCACGAACAATAAAGCCCCGCCAATCAGTTCTCTCTCTCTCCCGAAACCTCCTATTGGTTGCCGATATAATTTTCAAAGAAAGAGCTTTCTCCCATTGGTCACCACAGCCTGAGGCAGGAGAGGCTGATTTCTTTTGGATATTTTCCCCCTATTGGTCCATTTAGGTAACTTTCTAACTCTCAGTCACTCAGCAGCGGCCAATCAGGTTACAGTACCTGTGGAACTTTCTGGAATTAAGTAGAAAAGAAATAAAAGAAAAAAATGCAAAGGAAGATCAGCCAATCCTTTGAACCCATGTGAGTAGCTTTGTTTTTCTAGGTTTTTCTTTTCGAATCGTTTTTGTCCGTGTGAGCCGTCCGATAATCTTCCTCCTTTCTTTTCCAAACGCAAAAATCAGTGCAATGCATCATGGAAACAATCGATCGCTAGGAGAGGGTGTATCACTATAACTCTGTGTGTGCGTGTGTGTGTTATGTTGTTATGGAAACATGCTGCGGGGTTAGCGCTCCAGCAGCGGGATGGTGCATCATGGTAAATCGCTCTGTCCTCGCATTTAGCTGGTGTCCATGGACTCCATGTTTGCGGAGCTGGAGTCTCTCTGGATGGAGTCGAAGATGGCCGCTAGCTCCTGATTGGATGAGATCTGAGACTGGAACTCCGACATCAGCGGCGACTTCTCCGCCTCGGGGATGGTCAGCAGCGCCACAACCGCTCGCATCGCCGACCGCTTCAGCTCGTCCTGTTTCTCGAACTCTTGCTTCACAGAGTTAGCCTTCACCTGCAGAGAGACGCCATTTTTATTCTACTGGTTGGAAACGGTTCACAAAACAGAGTGGCTTCAGTTTATCAGATCAGTTCCATTTGTTGGGTTCGGTCCCATTTTATTCACCCTTAAGGTTGATTTATAATTAGAAACCAGGTCGTCTGCGTGTGTTGCAGTGAACGCAAATGTGTCCTCGCCCCTGCCGCAGACACTCTGCTGCACCTCTCCAAATTGTAGGTGACCGCAGACAGAAGGTAACCTCAATCCGCCAGATGAATTTGCTCCGCATATCCATCTGGAAACCTTACGTTGCAGTAATTTTGGGAAGGGGCAAAAATACTGGTTAGCTGATTGGCCTATGTTGGTGATAGACGGGCCAAATAAACCAATCAGATCAACGAAGCACGTGACCGACTAACAGAGCGACGATGAAAACACAACCACAAGCCAGGCTACTCTTGCTGAAACCAGTCGGGAGAAGAGCAAAAACATCTTTTTCTCTAAAAAAAAAAAAAGCCTCCAGAGCAGTGTTTTGCTCTTCTTTCAGTGAAGAAATACTCTGTAATTCCGATAAAACTTGCTCGATAGCCACGCTAACGCTAGTTTCATCAGCTGAAGCCGCCATGTTCTTTAGGCTGAACGGTCGCGCTTCTCGATGCGTCACACCTCAACCCGCCTCAAAAAAAACGCTGATTGGACGTTCATTTGGTGAACTGCTCCAAATTTTCTTCAACGGAGAGTCTCCAGACTGATCTGAGAGTGAAACCTTGAAAGCTCACGAGATCAGGATGGTCTCATGAGGCTAGACAGGAGGCCTCTGATTGGCCAATTCTATATCCCTATATACACTACGTGTATTTCCTGTTTGGTACCTTACCGGCTTGTTTTGTTTGTATGACCGCCATTGTGGAAAACAACTCATGAAGATGGACTAGCTAGAAGAGCGAGATGTTCAGGAACACCGAGACCCTTTGTCCACCTGGATTCCCGCTCTTTTTCACCATCTTGTCCCTCCGTTTTCGCACAAACTTGCCCCCAATACCTTGCAATTCTCGGCCGTATCTAGACCCACTAGTTCGTGATCGTCCCTCTTGCGTTGTGGCGTGGAATAACTTAGCGCAGACTACGCTTTAATATTGGGCATAAATCAAAAATATCTGCGACAAGCTCACTGCATCACACACATCACATTAAGTTCACTCATGACTTTCAGTTCAATAAAGTCCAACAGTTTCTTATTAAATTTCTCTAATCTAATTTAATCTCAGGTTTTTTTCAGTCTGAAATGCTCTAATTCGGTCCAAATCCGAACGTTTCCCCCTACAGGCCCGTTGGTCAGGATGTTTTTCAGTACAGTTGTTTTTGAACGTACCTTTGTGGTGCAGGTCGCCCTCAGTGGTTCCACCAGTCTGTCCAGTCTTTGCAGAACAGCACTGGGACAAAGTGACGACAGCCTAGCCAGCATCAGGAAGGTCAGCATCTAGAACAGAACCAATGAGAAGTGAAGCACGAGTCTCTGAAACTGATCACACTTGGAAGAAACAGAATGAGGGTTTAGGGCGACG